GGCATGACATTGCACTATCCTCGTGGCCATGAGGTGGCCATACAACAAGATACGCATGCGGTTGCGGCGATCCTGGCGCTAATTATCTCGGAGACATTCTTAATGGCGGCCCACGTACCTCGCAGGCTGTGTGTGATATCCAATTCTATAGCTCCGCGCATATGTCTATATCACAGAGCCTCCTGGAGAATGTCACGAGAAGAATTGAATATTTAGTACAGCCGCCAGCGTTACATCCAGATGTCTCTTTCTGGCGTTTTGCTATGCAAAGCGGTAAGGGGTCCCCCGGGTCCCGACGCTATGCGGCTTGGAAGAGCGCTTATTGGCCTCTGATTTTTGTTCTACTTCCTCCTGTTGAAGCGCCTAGTGGCTCTGGCTCGGCGTTCCGCCCGGCATGGACTTAAGGTGGACATCTTAGATTAGGCGCTACTAATATGTAGATAGTGATTGAACAATCATATGTAGTGCTCCCACGCACGGACCTCTTTATGGCAGGCTTCCCCATTCTAGCGGACTTTCAATTTTGCTTCCTTTTAGTATATAAGGACTCCTCTCGCACCCCCACTCTGCGTGCTCTTTCCCTTCGCACTCAGAGTAAGTCCCTTTATCGCCTTTGCGCAGTATGCACTTATGCTTACGCCCTGTATAGCTAATCCCCCGTGTGTATTAGGTTAGATCTATACAGCGTGCTCTTTCCCTTCGCACCCAGACTAATCCCCTGTGTGTATTAGATCGTGCCCGCGTGCCACTCGCCAGTTCGCGCTCGCACAGCCCAGTCGTCGTATCACGACAATAGGTTATGAGCCCCGGCTTGTAACTGGCCCCCATCTACCCTCCATCCCTCACGAGTCTTCACTTGGAGAGATCCGGCACCAGCCGCACACTAGCTCCATAACACCTCAGGGTCTTTACCCCAAGTGTTACTCCACATCGCAACACGGACACTAGAGATCCTCTAGTGCATGTCTAGCCCGACTGCATCACGCCCACCTTCACCAACTGCACCGACAACTGCACCCCATCCTACACGTCGCACTCCTGCCGTTCCCACTACACCCTCTCAATCAGCGTCAACCGCCCCTCGCCGCACAACAACCATGTCCTCCGCCTCCGCATTCACATCAGCCACCGGTCCGCCATCAATGAAACTCGACGCGATCGGGAAGCTCAAAGGTTCCAGCGATTACCCACGCTGGTCCCTGATGATGCAGCAGTACTTCATTGCTGCACGCGCATGGAAGGTTGTCGACGGCACCGAGAGAGCCCCCGTCCAAAGCAGCACCGTCTCCGCTGCGGACGTCGAAGCATGGGAGACGACAAACGCATACGCGAGGTTCTACATCCTCAGCACGCTCGGCGACGAGCTCCTGCACCTCGCGAACCCAGTGGACATCACAGACGCCGCACTGTGGAAGAAGCTGAAGGACAACTACGCTGCCTCCACCACGATGTTGGCATTCGTCAAGTTCCGTGCGGACTTCTCGCACGCGATCACGGACAGCGATGACCTCGCTACCCAACTCGACGAACGCGCCCGACTCTGGCAAGAGGTCAGCGCCTCCGGGATCCTCCAAACCCCGGAGCTCCTGCAGATATCCGGCCTGCTCACGGCCCTCCCCGACTCGTTCAACAACGTCGTGGAGCCCATCCTCGCAGTCACCAAGCCCGCCGACCTGAAGCTCGACGACATCCGCAATCGTCTCCTCGACGAAGCGAAATGTCGCAGCTCCTCCACCAACGTCGCCGCCTTCCACGCACCGAAGGCGTCTATCTCAGGCAAAGCCAAAGCTGGCAAACCTGACGGCAAGAAGGGCAAGTGCAACTTCTGCCACTACAAAGGCCACTACGAGCAGGACTGTAGAAAGAAAAAGGCTGCCGCCGAAGAGGCGCGGAAGGGCAGCAATGGCAAAGCCCAGGACAGAAAAAGTAACCCGTCCAGTAGTAGTACTGGTCACGCATCTGTACATGTAGTCACCGCCAAAGGAGCCACTGCTTCTGAGGCCGAAATTCACTCCGCTTCCTGGTATCTCTACGGTGTGAAACGCTGGATGTTAGACTCTGGCTGTACACGACACATTACGAACGACCTGAACGACTTCGCTGAGTACACCGCCTTTGCGTCACCTACGTATGCAACACTAGCAGATAAGGCGAAAACGCAAGTAAGCACGCTCAGTTCAGGTGTTGTCAAGGGCACTACGCTTGTCGATAACAAACCAGTAAACATCAGGCTAGAGAACGTTCTCTACAGCCCTGCAATGTCCGAACGGCTAATATCCGTCTCATGTATCGAAGAAAAAGGCTTCGATCTCGTCTTTGGGAAAGGACGAGCCTCAATCAAGCGTGGTAACACCACGTTTGGCATAGGCACTAAGTCCCATGGTCAGTACTGGTTGGACCTTACTCCACTTCCACCATCTGTCGCGGTCTCCACGCACAACGCCACTTCGCTTGACGTTATCCATCACCAGTTCGGTCACCTGAACTGGGAGGCAGTATGCAAGCTCGCCGCTGCTGATTCCTCTCCAGTCAAAGGCCTCATTGCCGCCGATATGGATAAACCTTCGCATCCATGTGAAGGCTGTGTCTTGGGCAAAGCACACAGGCGTACATTCCCCACATCGTCCACCTCATGCGCCAACAAACCCTTCGACCTCATACACTCTGATCTCGACAGACCTATGTCGGTGGTATCCATTACAGGCCACCAATACTTCGCTACCTTCATCGACGACTGCTCCGACGTCACCTGGGTTCTACTATCTGCGAACAAAGGATGAGTTCCTCTCCGTGTTCAAAGACTTCGTAGCCCTCGTCGCGCGACAGTTCGATACGGTCATCAAGGTCTTTCGGTCAGATCGAGAGGGTGAATACCAGTCCAACGAGTTCATCAACTTGTTGAAGAAATCTGGGATCATCCACGAGCGCACGATACCCGGTACCCCACAGCAAAACGGCAAAGCTGAGCGCATGAACCGCACGCTCGTAGAAGCCGCTAAGTCAATGCTACAAACCGCCGGGTTATCACACGGATTCTGGGAAGAAGCTGTTCGCACAGCTGTGCACATATGCAACAGAAGCCCTAAGAAAGCCATTGCATGGCGTACACCCTTGGAACAACTCACTGGCACCACACCGGACGTGTCCCACTTCCGAGTCTTCGGCTGCCAGGCCTATCGCCACACACCCAGGGATAAACGCAAGAAACTTGATGCTAATGCTGAGAGCCTAGTGTTTATTGGCTACGAGACGAATTCTAAAGGTTATCGTCTATGGGATAAACGTAGCAGAAAGATCACCACGAGTACTGATGTGATATTCGACGAGTCGATCTTCCCCAACAAACTCCTACCCTCACCGTCCTCGACACAACCGATCAGATCTACATCCACGCTACCGTCATCTGTCGAACTAAAACTACCACCCCTTAATACGCCACCGGCTCCTACGCAGCCGCCACCGCCTGTACCACCTCCTACTCAACCCATCACACCTAAACCATCTACAGCATCCCAGATACCACGCCTTACACCTCAAACAGAGTTGTGTCCAGCTCCGCCAATCCCGCCAAGTGCACCGGTCAAGCCTGAATTCAAAGGCAAGGCCAAAGCCTCACCATCTCGTGTCGTCACCCCTCCGCCACCTCAACCAAATCCAAATACAACCTCGTGGAATTACAATTCCTTCTCCAATCCTGAGCATGCCACAACGTCATCAGACGTCCGCCGCGGTACCCGCGAGCGCAAGGCAACTCAGAAATGGACGAGTATTTGGCCCAGAGCGACCGAAGCGGACATCGAGGAAGCACTGAACACAGGCAAGGAACCGGGCGACATCACTGCGATCGTAGGCGACTCCTCCATTGCTGGAGAGCTGTGAACCTACAAACAAGCAGCTGACGCCCCGGATTCAGCGGAGTGGATGACTGCCATGCAGGCCGAAGTCACTGGCCTACTGGAACAAGGCACCTGGGAACTTGTCGACCTACCTAAGGGTCGCAAGGCGATCAAGTGCAAATGGGTATATGTTATCATGCGCAACGAGAATGGAGAAGTGGATCGCTACAAGGCAAGACTCGTAGCCAAGGAGTTCACG